ACAGTCAACCAGATGTTGTACCAGAACGTTTTGAAGAGGTTGCGTGAGGCTGTGAGGAGGAAAAGGGGCGATCTGTGGAAGGAGAACTCGTGGATCTTGCATCACGATAACGCGCCGGCTCACACAGCCCTGTCTGTCCGAGAGTTTTTGGCCGCCAAACGGATCACTGAAATGGATCACCCGCCGTATTCGCCCGATTTAGCCCCCAGTGACTTTTGGCTATTTCCCAAACTCAAAAATTTTTTGAAAGGCCATCGATTTCAAAGCATTGAAGACATTCAAACAAATGTGATGCAGGCTCTGAAAGACATCCCGAAAGAAGCATTCCACCGCTGTTTCCAGCAATTGCAGCATCGTTGGGATAAGTGTATACGTTCTGGAGGGGAGTACTTTGAAGGCGATGAATGTGATTAATTTGTAAGTTTAAAAGTAAAAAATACAAAAATAAAGTCTGGAAACTTAATAGCCACACCTCGTATATTACCATTCATGACTGAAATTCCATATCATGCAGTGTGCCATAGCAGAAAAGAAGGAAATTTCAGGAGAGAAGGATGAAGAGACACTCACTGTTCATGTCAGGAGTGACCAGCTGGGAGTAAGGGGACATGGACTGGCTCCCCGATTCCCAACTGGATATGGTGGGCAGGGTCATGCTCCCAGGAGATGTTGCCTTTAACATCCCACCACAGGAGTCCCCTTCCTCTTCCTATTCACACAAAATGATATTAATTTTTTAATGCTGTCAAAAATAAATTGCCTTCTCGATTTCCTTCATTTATCATGTGCTTTTCATTAACAGCATTTTTAGAGCTAATAGCTAAATCTAAGCATCCTTTTCACACATTCTCATATAACATGTTTATATCCCAGTGCAGAAGGGACAGACTCATTATGTCCCTCAACCATCAACTTCATTCTCAGCTCTCTATTCAAGACAACTGCAGAAATCTGGAATTTACTGTTTGCTTCCATCATAAATGTAGAGTGGCAAGGACTAAGGGACACTAAGCCTTATGCACTCTGATAAAATTTCCATGTCACATACCAGGACTGAGCTGTTGATGGGGACTGTACACAATAAAATACCAGGTCATCTAAGAAGGACCCAGAGCATTTGGCCAATATGGTTTCAAAAATAAAAAATTGGTGAATATGAGGAACTGGGCCTTTTCTTTTAGCACCGAGCTGAGGAATGTTGCATGGAGAGTAACACAAGCCAGATCTTCAATAAGCTAACCTTGAGGGAAGACTTGGAGACAGGTTTCCAGGAAGCAGATGCATCAATGGTGATCTCGTCTACATCTGAACTCCCAAGACTTTGAATCACACTCCATAAATACTGATCTATTTCCAGCCCCTCCAGGAGTGCTGGTTTACTGCAAAATGGCATAGAAAACATGGAATCAATTGAGACTTCAGGCCTTGCTTATTTCCTTCACAAGAAGTTTCTTTGTAAGAAAATAACAAAAAATTAAAGAGTATACATGAAATTAGCAGGCTGAATGAGTCTGGAAATAACTTAAATATATAGCTGGGTCTTATAGGTCAGGCTTGACTCTGATGGATTATAGGGGAACATGGCAAAAAAAAAAGGGCAAACAGGGGGGGGGAATTCCCATCCTCTAAATACCATGAGGGGAAACAATGAAAAGACAAAGAAAAGGCCAGTTACTTTTGCCCAGCAGTAAACAGTTCAATTCAAACGATGCAACCAAATAGAATATATGAATGAGTAGTGACCAAAGAGACCCAACTCACTTGCAAATGGGACAGCGCCAACTGCCTCGTTCACTGTTCATCTGAAGATAGGATTCCAGGTCAAATCCCTGGATGTGTTTGCAGTCGCTCCCCCGGGCTGGGAGGGTGATGCGCTTGAACGTGATAGGGCACTTGAGAGACACTGTGATGGCCATCTGCTCCACACCATCCGCATCCCCATTTCCACCTGAAGGAGATGCTCCACTGGAGGACGATGAGAAATTGCGCTTGATCTTGGTGACACAATGCTCTGCCGGGAGGAGGCGTTTCCGCAAGAGACCTTGCAGGACACTTCGAACACTCGGTCGATGCACCAGTTGCAGTACAAACAGGTGTGACTGCAACAAGTACCAAGGCAATTCCATTTCAAATGTTATGCCTTTTTTAATACAAGGGGTCAGTGTACTCTACAGGGATCAAGTTATCATGTCATGCAGGAAAATATGGTCACTTGGATATTCATTCCCAATGTTCGATAAATTTGTAAAACAGTTCAAGAATATATTTTTTTTAACAAAGCAACATGAACCCTTGCAATATGCATATTATTGATATTTTGGGCCATTGCATTGGTAATCAGCAAACACTTCCATCCTACAATAGTTTTCACATCTCTTGTAGCTCATTAAATTTGTTTTTTACTTCCACAACATTTTGCACAATAGTTAACCAATTGCAAGAAGACATGACACTTATGAAAGGAAGACATACACAGCAACAGGCAGTGACGGTGATCTGAATGGTGTTTCGTCCCTGTTGACAGACATTCTTCAGATAAAGAGGTTTGTGGGAGATCTTGCCCTCCCCTCGGTCAATGGAAAGTGGGATCGCATTCACCGACACCTGAACCGAAGCTGGCCAGTTGGTATGCATCTGCCGGTCTTCATGGTGGAAACACTTCAATTGCAACTCCAAGTCGGATCTAAAACCAAACATGGGGATTATAGACTCTGGAGCAGTGGTAGAGCAAGACATCATACTGACATGAATGAACAAATGCTTGCACTTGAATATTCAGCCTTCAGATACCATTCTCATCCACTATATGGAGGAAGCCATTTCAGAAACAACACAAGCAAGAGCCCTCTGTTGCTTTTAGGTAAAGTATCACTCCAAAAATGCCCATTGTGACTGTGATGCTTACAAAATGCCAGATATTTTTTCAAAATGTAAAAACAGATAAAATATTTATCAGCACCAGTACTGGTAATTCATGACTTTGAAATAGAATTTCACATCAAGATTTTAACCACAGTAACAAAATAAATATAAGAATGAGTCAAGAATTACCAAAGACACTTATGAAATCAGTATATTTAAGTAATCAGTTCCCAAAATTATCCTAAGAATGGAGATCACAGACAAAACTCTACTATAGAGAGCTACTGCCAGTAGTTCAATGTAAGATGTATAAAAGATAGATATTGAAGTAACCACCTCCATGTGAGGGTACGATAGACTTCAGGCTTGAGGTGGAAGACATGATTGGAGACAGCCAGGTTGTGTTCCAGTCGAAATGGCGGCAGCATGATCCCATCACGGACCGGAAAAGTCAGACGAACCTCCTCTTCTGCAATACACACAAATTTCAACATGAGCATGTGACCTATGATGGCAAATGCAGGGCCATATAATTAACCTCTATGGTGACCTTATTCTCCACTTTACTCTGTTTTTTTGCTAACCATCATTAAAAATTTTAATTCAGCAGCTCCTAGCCACCAAATGCCAGCTAATGCTCATAAGTTAAAACCCAATAAGAAAAAAGTCACTCTAATCACATACCTTTGAAAATTGACTTCATTAGATATGCAGTACAGTGTATTTGCTGGGTTTATGCAAATCCCATCAAAATGAGACAGTTATTATAGAGTCAAGCCAGATTTACCAACCTATTGGATGAGTACCAGCTGCATGTTTAAAACTGGCAACCTATACTGTCCATCATTTCACATCTTAGTCCTTGTTCATCAAGAGAAGCAACAGAACAAAATGGAAAATTTCCCTGAATTCAGTACTTCAAACAAAATTGCATAAAAAAATTAAAATTTGTGAAGGCCTTTGAATCTGCATTAATTATGAGCCAAGATCAGAGCTAGTCTCTTGTTTGATGCCAAGGCTTGGCAGAACATGAATAAAAAAAAAAACAAAAGCAGGAACTCACTTGCACCGGGATTTGGAGGTTTCACATCACTGGAGAATGCAGGTTTAATACTTTCTGTTGGAGACATGTAGGGTGGGACTGTAGAGGCCGGAGTTAATGGTGGAGTAGGGTTTCCTGGAATGGGGCTGTGCTGGTAATTTGGTGAGTTGAAGCCATTGCCATTCATGTTCATGTTCATACTCATGTTCATATTCATGTTCATGTTCATATTCATATTCATGTTCATGTTCACATTCCCTCCTCCACTTCCCGGTGGAGTGGTAGAGGCAAAGGACCCACCTATGGGAGGCACAGGAACGGGTCCAGGTCCGGGTCCTGGGTACCCTCCAGGATAATACTGATTTGTTGGGGTGTATGGTGCACGCATGCGCATGCTGGGTGCCATGGGTGTCCCTTGCCCAGGATAACCTTGCTGGAATGTCCCACGACCACCTCCGTACTGAGCTCCATACTGTGGGAACTCCTGATCATCAATGAGATATGCATCATTTACATGACTACACATCAGATAAAGCAAGACAATCCAGTTTATCATTAACTAGACAATGATCTTGTCTTCTTGTTTGCATAACCATTAGATAATGCATTAAATGGGAATTCAGCTAACATGATGACCATTTCATTTTTGCCCAAGTTCAGATAGATCCACCCGTTATGTAATAGATACATGGCATAATCTCCTTTCATTCATGAAAGGAGGGGGTAATGCTTCAATGTTGAAGCCATCTTCCCTGACTAGATTATCAGCCTCCAGCTGTTTCCATATAGATTCATGAATTCATAATACGATGATGTGCCCCATTCATCATCATATGTCAAGTACTGGTTATTTCACTTATAGCAAACTGGAATGCATGTGGATACTAAGAAGGCAATGGCATGCATGTGCCTCACTTCAAAAGGTGCAGATATGACACATCACAGTGCATCGCCAAATATGAAGCCCCACAGAAAGATGGGACTTGAATATTGTGCTACTCATGGATAAGAAGGAATGTGCAGAAGTGGCAAAAGGGAGCTCATGGGGGGGCCCTAGCAACAAGGAGATAAAAAAGGGGGAAAAAGGGGGGGTAGCACAGCTTCATCTTGTCTGTGTCTCCAAGTACAAATGGGAAGGAGTATGAGGAGTCAATCTTGGCTGAGGAAGAAGAGGAGGAATAGGTTCCTTCCCCCTTCTCTGTCTCTCTCGCCATTCTGAACAGAGACAGAGACAGAGAGAGGGAACGTGCCAAACGAGGCTTTGGCACCTCAACTGCTCTTCTTCTCACACTCTGTTCTCCATGGAATTGGAAGGAATGCCAAATTGCCCTGGTTTCCCCCCACAAAGTTCTGCATATTTGCCCTTCAGCAGGAAAGTGAGCGTGCCAAGCCACTTTCCACGCTCATGTTCATCGTCTCATTCGCTACTCCCATCCTCATAGATATGAATCTCAGCTCCTTATCTTTAGCTTGGGTGCCACAATCCACAAGAGCAAAACTGTTATTGATAAGGGTTCTCAGCACTTTGTAAAAAAAAAAAAAAAATTTGTAGCTCAACCTGGTGATTGATGGCTAAACAGGACAAGAGTTGTACTTAAATCTCTTCGATCTGGTGTTTCTTAGAGAAAGCATATGATCTCATGATGATTCTACTAGACTATTTATGTACCCTACAAGGGAATCTTCATTGCACAAAAATTGCCCCCATGAAACACAACACTAAAATATAACCCCCTGATCTATGCTCTCTATCTTCAGTATACACAATCCCATCTATGGGCTTGCAGATAAAAAGATCTGAGGTTAATTAATGCCATATTCCATGCCTATACAGACAAAAAGACACCTAGTGGACAATGAAAAAACCTATGACCATTGAAATATTGCTTAAATGGTCCATGGACCATTACACTACTCACTTCCCTGTTCAAATTGTCAATCCAAAACTTTTTTACCAGCAACTAAAGTCTTCTGAGCTTCATAATAGGTATATATATAGAGGATTTTTTATTGTTTCACTTAGGTCATCATGACCAACATGGGATATGGCTTACTCTGGGAAAACAAAACTTGAGAGGGAACTGACCTGAGGGGTGTATCCAGGCTGGATAACATAGTTAGGGCTAGGGCCACCTTTGGACATCATGAACTGAGAGGGATTGGGATACGGGGACATGCGATTGTTCCGGGGTGCCCCAGCTCCATACATGGCACCTCCACCATTGCCTGCTCCCTAATTGTATCAATATAGGATAATGATGCTAATGCCTTTAAGACACAATTACCTTTTAACTAGACATATATAAAGAGTGTGACCATGATACCTCTATTTGCCTTCTGTTAGCTGCCCAGCTTTCTGGCAACACTATCCAAATTAAGTGATCATAACTTCAAATGTTTACACTAGACCTTTTATGGTTAAGCTCTAAAATTGTCTATAACTTTAAATTTGATCACAATAAAAATTAAGAAAAGATGACAGTAAAGGTCAAACACCCAGCTACCCATTTCACAAGGTTTTTGGCTGCAACAGATGCTATCTGACTACATTTCCAGGAGAGAAGCCACCAACCTGAAACTGCATTTGCATGTTCATTTTTGGGTTCATGGGCATCATCATGCCATTATTTGGAGGGGGGCCTCCTCCTTGCATCATGGTTGGCATCATCATAGGCCTCCCACCACCAGCTCCTCCATAGCCCCCATTGAAACTTCCACCCATCATCTGCATTAAGAGATGACACTGGAATGCTTGTCACTGAATTCTACTATACGTCCAAACTCTTCAACATTAAATTAAATAAGAGCATAAGTTCTGGTTAACAGTCTTTGAATTACTGAAAAATACTTCTCATTGCATGTAAATTCAGAAACATAGGGATTCAGTATGAATTATGTTATAATAAAATGTATTGCTGATATGTTCTTCGGGACTGAGAATGATTCAGAGTATTTGTGGAAGCTTATATTTCTGGACTGCATATGCAACCACCACACTACTTGGACTTGAATTTGAAGCATAATTCTTTCATCTTGGTTAATGTGCTTAATCAATATCCATTGCTTAGAGTGCCTTGAGAACAATATGAAAAGGTTTCCAGACAGGTTAATCACCCTGTACAATACTCAGCCAGCTGATTGTGAACCAAGACCCATGACTAAAATATCCTACAACTGAGGGCAAGAGCTAAAGCAACCCACCTGTCCGTACTGAGGGATTTGTTCCGGCATGATCGACTGCTGAGGTTGCGGATTGCCAGTCCGGTCTTGCATGGCCATCACAGATGCAGTGGCAGTTGCAGTGGCAGTCGCTGCTGCAGCCACCATCGCAGCAGCCGACAACGACCCCCCACCTGAGGGAGCGTATCCACCATTGTGGGGTTGTCGGTAGGGGGAGTTCATCATCTTGTTGGGTCCAGGCCCGGGGTAGGCGGTATGTCCAGGGTACCCTGCGGTGCTCCCCAATTGAGGGGTATTTGTGGTTCCTGTCACACCCCACACTGTGGTAACTACTGACACGTGTTGCTGCCCACCTCCACTTCCAGGTCGTGGGGACCCCATCATCCCCCAATCTCTGGATAATCAAAAAGAGGAGAAAACCATGAATGGTCTGATTGATGACAGCTGACACATGCAGACAGATATGTTAGGACAGAGGTAACTCATAGCAAAGAAAAACTGGTAAGACAGGGTTAAAAAAAACAAAGGACAGGGTGTCTATCCTACCAACCCCAGCAAGCTGCCACTGTGTTAACCCCATGACAGTCAGTCTAAGAAGCAAAGAAAAGAATCCAGTGCTGCAGATGATGATGTTTTCTGCTCTAGAAACACATTTTACTCATGCATCATACATGTTGATCTCTACTTCTACCAAGAATTTATTGCTTATGCAACAAGGCTGGCTGATCATAAATTATTATCAACAGTCAATGCATGTATTTTTTGCAACTTTGGGTAAGCTTACACTGAAAACTTTAAATCCCACACCTTGAGCCTATTTCTGGTATGAGAACTGCAGATATACCATTTTGACATACTCATTTGGCATCCTCTTTCTGGTAGACATGCAAAATCCATTTCATTCCCCAGTTATCAAGAGTCAATGCCTGCAAAAACAGAAAGATAAAAGTTGGCTATCTCTCGTCTATTGATTCAGCTAGGCCGCCCAAGAAATGTTTGGAAAATATTTATGATCTGGCGACAACTTTGGAGAGCTGCGAGTGTTCATAGGCAACGTATATTTGAAGATGGTACACTAACATACAATTGGGATTCGGACAAGATGTTTCTCTAGTTCATGCATCAGCTCAGAATGGACAGGATCGTTAACAAGCTGGATTACACAGTAACTCGTTTCATTCCTAGAGACCTGCCATCTGCTGGCAAGAACGAAAATCAATATATCTCTCTCTCTTTCCTCCCCCTCCTTATTTGTCCCTAACGATGTTTTCTAACGATGAACATCCATGACTGAAAAGCAGAAAAAAAGGCCAGTCAACTGCATAAAGGAAAAGTGTTTTGTCATACGTACGAAACCGTCACAGGTCAAATGTCTGCTAATGAAGTTAACCACGGGTCCCTGCATCTCAGCTGGAGAAGGAAATGCCTCTTTAACAAGCGAATTCTACAGCCTGGACGTGAATTCCACATCTATCTCCGTCCAGGTTCTTCAGGGAAACCGTCACACTGTTTCGGTCAACAGCAAGGCTTGCCTCGAGTAAATATGACATAACAGAAAAAATATTTATGATTTCTGGTGCTTCGAAGGACTTATGACCGGTGTCCTTGGGGTCCCTCTTGGCCCTAAATTGCATCATTTCCTCCTTGACAGTCACACCGACGTTTACCCGTGAAACGCAACACGCTCCAACTTTGATACGCATGGCTTTTCCCTTCCAACATATGGGTCACGAACGCTATCCTTTCCCGTAAGTGTATAAATAAGACGAAGCTGTCGCAACATTGCAAAAGGGTTGAGGACAGTGCGAGTCGGCCGTAACTCTTCGCATATTTATGCTGATGGAACATCCAGACGGAATATTCGTGCGTTCTACTGGTTCTTCGGGTCCACGAGCTTATTCGTATCATAGCTTGTTATCGTCGGCCTCTAAGTCCATGAAAGTACGCCGGAGTATCTCACCAATGCGAGCAGGACTGCCTATTACGCAGCTAAATAATAATAAATAAACACAAATAAATAAATAAAACACTCCAAGGACCCGTCCCTGAATGTAACGCGGTCGAGTGCTCGGTTCAACATATTGAGGCCAGAGAAGGATTACTCCCAATCGCTGCTGCAACGCCCAGAGCATATATCCGGTCTTTCAAAGATCATCCGAGCCACCGAGGAGGATGCCCGCGAAGATAATCAGATTCTAGCTCCATACAATCGCGTCTTTTCATACACATGGCCCCGTGGAATTTATTAAGCTCCCCACGGCAGTCGACACGGAATCTTCACAAATTACGTTTCCATTAGGTTTCAGAAACCAAATCCTGTCCGGTAATTATTTCGTGCTCGACGAGAGGAAGATCCATTAACAGCGGTCGGCCAATACCGACAATGAACTGCTACGAGGCGCGTGAATACCGTGCCAAACTACGCGGTCATCCTTTCATCTCCCTCTCTGTCCCCTTTTTCTTTCTCTCTTTCAACAGGGGAGAAAGAGAGAACGCGAGAGGAAGAGGGCGAGAAAGAAGGGGAAGAAAGGAGGAGGACAGGGTGCAATGGCACTGGCACGGCAGAAGGAAATTTCATCCACCCAGCCCCCTCTTTCCAGGGGAATCTGAATAATGAGGGAAGAAAAGAGCAGAGCGCAGTCTGTCCCATACGGGACGCAAGGGCGGACCTAATCCCTTTTATATACAGGTCCGCTGCAGGTACAAGGGAAAGGAATTTGCGGTGCACTAATTTTCGCGATCTCGTTTCGCTCACTAAGTGGCTCGGAATTTCTCTACACGGCCCTTCAACAGCGTCTACAATGACAACTTGACCCTAAAACGAAGATAGTTCCACTTAGCACACGTGTTCTGTCTTTAATGTCTTGGCTTGAGATTCTCGAGGGGTGAGAATGCCGAAGTGATTTGAAATGACAGGTTGGGAGAGAGGGGGCCGGGCCGTGGTTCAGCCACTGAATAGAATAGAATAGGGAAGCAAGGAAGTGCCTGATCGTTCACCCAGACCGAGGCCAGGAGAGAGGAGAGAGAAGAGAGCCATTGGGGTGGAACAGGAGGACTGAGAAATGCCACGGATGCCGGATCCTTCCGCTCTCCCGCACCTCTCGACAGATGGCTTTTCCACAGGGAGGATGGATGGAAACAAAGGCTTGGATCAGGTGTCGATACCGGGACACCAGATGCCAGCTCACCCCGCAGCCGCCGGACAGATACGGTAATGAGGGAAACATTTGGCCTCTATCAGGGAGTCGATGTGCTGGGTAGAGCACGAGGTATTGGGCAACCGTGATTTGACGGAGTGATTCCCCCCAAACAAAGACGAGAGATGCTCTTAGGGTCCTCGGTCCCACGTGAATGCCCTGCCGTGACATCCACATTCACATCATATCACACACCCTGATTCTTCTTCCCCTCTCTTCCCATGTCCCGAGGACTCTTCCCTCTCCTGCGATTCCCAGGAGACCGGAATTTTTCTTTTTGCAAAATGAATGCCGTTTTTTCTCTCACGCCCTGAACCATTTCATAGGGACAGATGTATTTCCTACCCGTTTGGCCTTTCAGGGGTTCTCTTTTCCCACCCTCCCATGCACGACAGGCATTCGATTCACGGAAGTATAAAGCATCGTCCTGAAGATTTCTACATGCTGGAACTGTGACGTCAAGAAGGAACGTGGCTGGCCTTGCCACGTGAAGGCGGCGAACGAGCATGGGGGAGGGGGAAGGAACCCAGGCTACGTGCACCACGTGCTACTCAGGTGAATCCGGACTGACTTACCCCTGAGACGGTATTTTGTTCAGCGGGGCCATAGATTGTTGCATGGCTTCCTCCTCGGTGCACGATCTCTCCCCCTCTCCTAACTCCTCACACCAACTGGACACCAGTTCTGGAACATAAAGGGGAAAATCATGGATCGAGCGTGGCCATCCGGCATCCCTGTCGTGATGGAACGGCATGGAAAAGTCATAATCAAGGAGGTCGACTTGGCTGGCTGGTTGTGCCATATCGACGACGACGGTGCGCGCGTTTCCAGCATTGACCCACATGTGTGATAGGGCCGAGGCCCATACCGAAGCCATAGCGCAAGACCTCATTCCCCCCGCCTCCTCCTTTTCCAAAAATCGATGACGCCGTCCTCTTCCATGCCCTGAACGGAGATAAACAAATGTTTTCCTCCCCCTCTCCTTTGCTTTGTTATTCGCGAGGGCGGTCTTGCACCATCTTAGCGTCTTTCTTCATGCAAATGGCGTTGCGCTGGAACATGACGTCACTGAGTTAGTGAAAGGAAAGGAGCTGGCCGAGCCTTCCCAGCTCTGCTTTCCCTGTAAATAGGTTGTTTATACGGGATGGGATGAGCCTATGTATAGATTGGCACATTCTACATCCCTTCTCCCTTGCCCCCCCCCCCCCCCTCTCGCCGAGGAAACATCCCCTCCTCTTCTCCCTCCATCCCCGTTTAGTCGATCCCCTTCGCCACCCATTCAACAGGGCCATGTATGCACGCTACGACTTTGTCGAGGGGGTCGTCGACGTCTCTTTCGCAGTTTCAATCGCGTTTCTTGCGAGAGCCCAAGTGCAACCGTGACAGCAGCGCCGCTGCGTATCACAGGTAAACGAAGGCCTTCAGAATGGCTACGGAATGAAATCACGCCTTGACGTCACCAGAGAAGCAAACAGCGGCCTTGGATAGCGCAGGGAGAAACTCGAGTTTATTCATTGACCCTGATTCACAGAAAAAAAAAAAAACCATATCGACAGGGTGTGGGACGAAGGCGGCCCAGCCTCAATGTCTGCCCTGCAAGACCTAGCGGTACCCCTCTCATCACCGCTGGAATATTTCAAGGACCCGTCCTTGGCATACGGTACTAGTACTACCGGGACCGGTACATTTGCCCCTCCCTTCTCCTCGCAATGCTGTTCCGGGGAAACAAAAAAGGGGAGGATTCCCCATCGTTCAACAGGGGATGGGGGTGATTCATGATCCACCCCACAATCTCATCCGATCCCACCCCATCTGGCTCCAGATATCTCTCATCAATGCAATCAATACACTTCCCTTCCAATCCTCCCCCATGCAACTGGCCAGCGGTGTTTTTTTTTGTTCTCATTTCCCGGACATACAACAATCTGTTCAGAATTTCACTGCAGGGTACGTTCTTCCATTCATGCCTCCTGAAAGTTTTGCAGCGCGTTCTCCTTCCCGACTTTCTCTTCTGGAAATAATCATCTTACTTACTGACCATGAATAATGGAATGGACTGGACCTGATAGACTCCGGTCATAGACCACAATATAACCGAGGGCCAACGGAGCCTCTTATTCACTTCCTCTTCCTCGTTGTGGGAGGACGCAGCTCGGGACGGAGAAAGGTCGGGGGGAAAGAGAGATGTCTCAAGGGAGAGAGGGAGGCAGATATGTGGCAACACTGGGAAGGAAGAGAATCGCCTGGAGGGAGATGGTCCGTAAAGGACGACCCGGCCGCTCTCCATCTGCTCGGTCTCACCTCGCTTCAGATCGTATCATCAAGAGGAGCTCCGAAATTTAGCACCTTTGGTCGCACCGGTCATCTCGGATTCCAAAGCGAAGTGAATGAAACGAGTCCCTTCAATCTACATTACGTCAAGTAAGTGATGGGGCTGGATGAAATAAAACGAAACTGGTTTCTTTTCTTTTTTCTCCTTCATGTAGTAGTTCTGTCCACCCTTCATCTCCCTCAAAATCACAGATCAGGATGATATCACGCTCGTGCACGTGATTCTGGGGAAAGGAATGGTCTGGATCGAGGAGGAAGGAGTGCGTGAACTGAATGAGCTCTATTCCTGTAGCACTTCCGAAAGCACAGGGTTGCCAAATCTCTCCTTTTCCT